TTTAGTTAATATACTCTTTCTCCATCCTCTGTTATTTCTGCATAGACTGCCCTCACTGTGAGACCCATGAATTACAGTATGTAGCATGCACCCATACACAAGACATTTTTCCTGCTTTCCTTTTCCTAGCTACATTTATATTTGTAACCATTTCCTGTTCTTAAAACCCCCCAAATAACCCAGTGTGCTCTAATTTGGCTAGTGTTCTCTAATTCAGCTAGATCTCACACAGAGGATACTCAGACTTTCTACTCTGGGTGCATTGGGGAGGGCTGGAACTAACACCCCCAGTCCAGGATAGCCAGTCTGTTGCTGGAATACAGCCACACTCCTATTGGTACCTAACCACAGGACCCCAAATGCAGAACCAATGGGCACATATTTTAGCTTGTCGCTTAGCCCTCTTTGCATTGGCCAACTCAGAGCCCCACCCCCCAAGGCATGTGTGTTGTACAGGCCTTTGCACAGCTTCTCTGCCCTGAGAACAGGCTGGAGAGCACGGAGGGGCTTGCGCTGTCATTTGCAATTGGAGGATTTCCTGAGAGAACGAATAAATGTACCTGTGTAGTAAAGACTTTTCTCACTTCACATCCAGCACCTGGACCACACTCCTCCCCCAACCTCCCCTCCCCCCTTCTCATTTTCCTTTTAGAAGCAAGCAGATTAATGAACTTGTATTTCTGAAAACTACACTCTCTGGTTTAAATCCAACTTCCTGCTGGTGCCTATCAAAGGCTACAGATCTTAGAGGGTGCAGAATCATTTCAGAGGAGACTAATGACTAATCTTCTCTTTATCCTCCATGTAGATCCAAATATCTACAGCTCCAATCAAATAACTGGTCCTAGAATTCTCTTCTTTCAAGCACCAAGTAAAGCAAGTAATATAAGCAATGTATAAAGTGAAACCATTTATCTGGACAAAAAAAAAAAGTTTTAAAGCAGCATTGTAATGCTGCTAAATTCTGATCTTACTTTGAGTAATGTTGGGAGAATGGTCCTTGCCTTGCATTCCAGGATAGTCTCATCAAGTCACATAACACATTATTTTAACTGTGTTGCATATGTTTTAGATTTTAATGGATTTTTAGTTGTGCAGCTAAATATATAGGAGCTCTTCAGTTACAACATGGAGAGCAATTATGGCAAACCTGAATGCTTGGTCTTCTTGGCATATGTGGGTGCAAGTAACAAGAAGCTAATGAATTCATGCCAGTAAATCAAGTTTAATTTGCCTTCCTTTTCTCCTCCCTTCTAAAGCTGGCTGAAACACAAGTTCCACTGCAAATGCAATGACTAGCAAACATGGGTGCCATCACAAATACAACACTGCCAAGAGGAAACCCTCCGTTGACTAATAACAGAACTTCCCAAAGCAACTGCAAGATATTCTGGACACTAAACTGCAAGAAGTTTGAGGATCTATTCTACACAAAATATACACATTCTTGCATCTGGAGAACATGGATTCTGCTGTATACTTCTATGCATTTTGTTCCAATTCAAAACACAAATGCCTACCTCCCATCATGCATGCTGTCAAACTGCAGGTGCACAAAACCACATAAGAAATAACAGCTTCACTGTTAAGTATCTCAAAGCAGAATGCTGTAACTCAACATATGATGCTTAATCTATGGTGCCAGTTGAAACAATATGGAATGACAGCCTATTACTTTGGAGAGAGGGGACTGCACACTGATGACAACACTTAGCACTTACATAGTGCTTGTCATTGTCAGAGCACCTAAGTTAGTGACATTTATTTTTCAGTTTAAACTCCCTTGTATGAAATTCTATTCACTAGACCAAGGCAACATCAATAGTATTTTACAAAAATGTTTACTATTCCTGGAACAGTCAACCTGTATGAATGAGGTTACTGAATGAGGTTATCATAGATCTTGGACACAAAATTGTGTAAGGTGGGACTAATGCAATAAAGGATTTACAATTCTTCATCTGAATAGAAAACTCAATTATATTTGATGGTATTTGCAACCCCTTTCAATCACTTTCCATAAACATTCTGGCCAACTGTTTGCAAACGTTAGTGGGAAGAAAAATTCACAAATATTCATGCTAGTGGATTTGCATAAATATTCGCTAGGCCATTTTCTAAGCTCTGAAGCTTGGGGAAGCATCCAAGCCATGAGACTAGTCACATAACATAAAGAGGGAATACTTGATGTAACAGTTCAGGGTCGGCTCCAGCATTTCTGCTGCCCCAAGCAAGCGATTGGCGGCAGCAATTGAGAAAAAAAAAAAAAAGCTGCGATCGGCGGCGGCAGTTCAGCGGCAGGTCCTTCGCTCCTAGAGGGAGTTAGGGACCTGCCGCCCCCGAATTGCCGCAGGTGCCGCCCCTCTCCCTTGGCCGCCCCAAGCACCTGCTTGTTAAGCTGGTGCCTGGAGCCGGCCCTGCAACAGTTATAGTAGATAGTCTGTGAGCAGTCAATAAAATGACACATCACTGAATAATTTCAAAGGAGGAACAAAACTGATATCTATTTGTGGATAATTTGGGAATTAGCAAAAGGGCCGAGATTTGACAAATAAGTTGTCAATGTGCTAGTTATGCTGAAAGTTGTCTCACACAGAACATCTTATATGTTCATTTTCAAGGACCACCAGCTGTTTGATGCATGGGACAAGTGCACTATCTATTAACACACTGGGAGGTAAACACTGCACAAAAGTTTAGTACAACTCAGGGGAGGAGGGATAGCTCAGTGGTTTGAGCACTACCCTGTTAAACCCAGGGATATGAGCTCAATCCTTGAGGGGGCCACGTAGGGATCTGGGGCAAAATCAGTACTTGGTCCTACTAGTGAAGGCAGGGAGCTGGACTCAATAACCTTTCAGGGTCCCTTCCAGTTCTATGAGATAGGTATATCTCCATTTATTATTTAATTGGCAGAAATAAATTTTGGGAGAATGATTCCTAATTACAAAATGAGAAATTACACACAGTAAAATGTTTAAACACTTTGGATGTTACTATACTTAGTACCTTTGTGGTTTTATTTTAGTGATGCTCCTAAACTCAACACTAGGAGCTGAAACTTCACAGCATGAATCTTGTACTTCACTCACTGGAGTTAGAGATGAATGTGTACATTATAAAATAGTTGTTTCAATGGGTTTCACATTTTAATGCTAAAGTGATAGTAACTAAACTACACTGGATATAAAACATACAGCAAATTGAACCCATTTAGAAAATCTAAACCTCTGAGGCAAAGAAGAGACTTTATTTTTTGTACAGAAGTGTTTCAACAAACATTGCTAGAGCTTCCCATTCTTTTTGAACTGCAGGATGCAACCAAATCATTGGAGAATGTGCTGAAGAAATTTATGGAGTTTTTTAAAACTCTAGATGGCGCACTCCTACAGTATAAGGCTGTAAATTCATGAAGAAATCTCTAAGCTTACTTTTGAGAGTTTCACACTTAATATTCTCTATTGACATATTATTGTCATCTTAAAAGTACACAATAAAAAGGGCCTGTGAATTAGTTATTGTAATAAAGTATCTCCTTGATTTACTCAAGAACTAGCTGAATACATATATTTCTTTTAGCTATTAGTATAAAAGTGAAATTTTAAATATTTAAAGTATAGCCCATAAGACAGGGCAACTTTTTATACAGAAGTAATCTGGAGGTGAAAATCCTTTGACCGTGGAACTGATGAGGACTAAGATCATAATTAAGGACAGAAAATGTTTGTGAGAACTGCCACTTTCTAATCTTGGTACAATTAATACTGAAAACATTCCTAATGTGGAAAAAAAAATCCTAGCTTTTATTCCTACACTTGATAGTAAATATTATAAATTATATAGCTAATTCTGAATTGACTAATCAAAGGCAATTCATTTAAAACCATAATACGTACATCACTGGCTTCACGTTTAACAAGTACCTATGGAAAAATGTACCTATTTTTCAATAATTTTACCAAATTTTCAACCCATTGTTTGGAAACACTTCATGCTTTGTCTCAATGATTCACTGTAAAACCAAATTAATGAATTTTGTTTTAAATCTTTGTGAGGTGAAGTGACCCAAATGAAGTAAACCATGTTTCTGAAATGTGAAAAAGTCCATTATAATACATGCCTTTTGGTATTTAGCAGGATTGAATTAAGGCAATCTAGGGCAAAACCCACATTTCAAGGCCCCACTGCCCACACCCCACTCCTGCTTGGGGTGGAAGCATGTTTCAGAGTTAAGATGAATAAGTCAGTTCACATTTTGGAGCTATTGTTCAAAACAGCAATTTGAGCTATTGTAGGCAGACTCCGGCAGGTATCAGTTACCCTTGGGTCATGTTTTCAAGCTATTTTGTGAATCCATGAGGGACAGAAACTTTTATTTATTTCAGTGAAAGCTGAAAGTCTCTGATCTCATCACATGACCACAGGAATTGGGGCCTTAGGAAGGCTTATAGTGCCTTTGACTTAACCTCACTCTGGGTATAGAAGAATATGAAGTTTAAAATATGAGCCATACTATTAATTATGTTGATTTCCATCAATAAAATCAAGGGCTGAAGTATTTCTGACTGGAATTTTTTAGATGATATAATTTCCATTCTGCAGCTCGATTGCTGAAACTGCAGTAGAAGAAACATCTGCATGACTAAATTGCCATAGTTTATGAATTAACAGCAGCTTAATTCTGACTGAACCAAAGATTCATAAACCATGAGTTGCACTGTTTTTCTCAGTAAACATCAAAACTAGTACACAATGCTGTATTCACATAGCTCTTGAAGTATGAGGTGGTTTCCTACTGTCCTTAACTGCACAAATAAAAAATGTGCAGGCAGATGCATCACATAGCTGCATAGACAAGCAGATACTTGCTCCTGCATTTATACACAAAGGTTCCAGCAAAGCATTAAGTATATGCTTATCTTTAAGCATGTGAGTTATTTCCACTGAAACCAAGGGCATGATTATATTGCTTCCATTTCTACACACAAGAAAATATCTTAAAAACTTTAATATCAAATTTATTCTTGAATAAACTGCACAGGTACAGTAATGATTCATGTTTGTATAATGAATACTGCTCAGTAATTGTTTACCTTTTACCACATTTTAACTCAAGTATTCAATTAAGATAATTTTATCTAACATATGGTATTCATCTATATGTATAAGTCTGCAGGCCCAATACATAATTGTACTTGATCATTTAACAAGTTTATTTCTACATCAGGTTATGGCTTAAAAAGCAGTTACTGTACATACAAGATCTAAAGAGACTGATGTGCAATACATTTAATTTCTTTGTTATCTTCCTGGGATAAGTTACACATTTCAGTGAGTTTTCATTGTGTCTTCTTCACAGCAGCAATAAATAGACATTTTACATTTTCATAAAAACATCCTTTAAGATAGCACATTAAATGCCTAATTCCATTGTTAGTTAAAGTAACATAACTCATAGATCATTAAAGGTTGAACATGGAGTTGTAAAATCTAACATTAGATCTTTTTGTGACAGCCTAAGATTGAGTGATTTGCAGGGCTTCCAACATGTCTTCCACTGCCTTCAGAGAGTACTTAGTCTCTTTCTTACTGCGACCTGCAAACTAAGGAAAAGTATAAATTCACTTTTACCAGTCATGTGACAGAAAATGCACTACACAATGCTGTGCAATAGTCTTGTACAAGCTATGGTTCTAAACTTTAATCAAAAATAACTTTTAAAACACACAGTCCACCAATTTACTGCAAAAACAAACAAATGTTTCAATAAGATTGTACCACTTAAGTTAACATTTACCTTAACTCAAGAAAAGAGAATTTTTCCCTTGTCTGCTTTGTGATTTATCACAAACATTTAAAAAAGCTGGTCTTTTATTTGATTTAACTTAGATCATGTTCATATTTTGACAGAGACAGGATCTGCACATGATAAAAAAACTAATAAGACTCCATATTATTTACAGCACGGGAATGGAATAGTTTACTTACAAAAACATACTGTAAAGCAAGGCAGCGATCACATAAATATATTTCTCGGTTCAACTGTGATTGTGAGTCAGAACCTTTTATTTAAATTATAATCTACCATTACAATTGTAAATCCAGATTGAATTTGAAATAAAGCCTATATTGGTAATGAAGGAATATGAAGCCATGCAAATACTACCTTTGTACATTTTAGCATTTAAAATTCCATACTATACTAGTCGTCTAGCATCAGGGGGGGAAAAAAAGTTGTTGACTACCCCATGCTGATCTCAAAATGAGTTTTCTAACTGTACTGACAATTCCCATCACTCATCAGCCTGATATAACACAACAGATTTATTGGCTAGGTTGGTGCTTCAGTCAAGTGGGAAAAAAGAGCCACCACCATTTCTTTTCTTTTCTTTTTTTTAAAACATACCCACACTAAATATTTTGGTGATAAAGAAGTACTGACTATAATTTGCTGTTAGTAAAATACCCTATTCTCTGACTAAATGTTAACATCTAAACACTCAATAAATTTACAATTTAATGATTTTTTTCTTCAAATACCACTGCTGTCCTGCATGCTTAGTGCTTGATTTATGATGTGTCCCATCTCTCTTGTAATTAACTTAATTTAGCAAACTTCTCATGACCTGTTGAGAAAGATTAAGTGATCAAGCTCAGGTAATATCACAGCAGCAGCAAGCTGCAGGAGCTGTTAACCTGCTTTTGACCCCTTGGGCTACAGTCTAGCATTAGGTTTCCCTTAATTCCTAGCTGTTAGCTTTGTGTTGGTAAAAAACTAGATTTGGTATGGTAAATAAAAGGGCATTACAAATTAAATATCTAGAAGCATAAAATGTAGCTATAATGACAAACTGTTTACTGTATCCTTTAACTAAAAAATACCTCGCTTTTTCTGGAAGTGGAATGCTATATAATTTTGCCTGTGCTAGTAGACGTAAATCCACCTTTTAAATTGTCAGATTCCCATAACTGCCCATAATGATAACACTTTAGAGGAACAGCAGAGATTGCTTTTTGCCTTCCCAGCTGATAAAGTATCTTTTGCCTGGATTTGAACAGAACAGAAAAAAACCTTTCTTCTATGCCCTCCTTTTTCCACACAAAAGAAGAACAGTCCTAATCAAATACTTGGGGAGGTCCAATTCTTTGAGAAACAGCTTTGATTTAAAAAAATTAAAAGAAGCATGTGTTATGATTCCTGTGATTCTTTCAGTAATAGCACAGAAGCCTGTGCACGGTGTGGTCAAAAAGTAATGCTGCATGGTAGAAATAGTTGGGGGATGGGGTGGGGGTGATCAGAGAAGGGAGGCAGGGGATTTCAAAATTAGCAGAATTTTACTTCTGTTTCTGCTTTAGGGACATTGAGAACAAAATTAATATTTTATGTCAATTTAAGAAACATTACTTGTTAGTTTCATGAGTGGCTGCCTTAATGATACTGACACATGCACTTTAAATTAGAACAAATAAAACTAAACTCCACATCATAACAAATAGAAGCTTGAAATCTAATCACTTCAAATTTTCCTTGACGACCAATTATTTTGTCTATTCCGGCATTATACTGCAATTCAGTTGATTGAGCCGGAATCCTTTTTTTTTTTAAATCATGATTTAATTTTCTGTTTCCCAAATGGTTTGTAACAGAATCACCTCTCCAATCATAAATAACATGTGACTCACTAACACTGAAGAATTTAGCAGTGTGCCTAAGAAACATTTATCTGGAAAGTTACCACGAGTGGGATCACATTAAAGATTTTCATGAGCATCAATCAAACTTGCTTGCCTCTGCTGAAATGCTTCTACCACAGGACATGCTAAACCAATTATCTAATTGGGGAGTATTAGGTAGCCATATTTTGTTTCGATGTTAAGCAACAGAAAGAAAGAAGAAGTTCTTCACTTTTTGTGTGATTCATGTTGATAGTTAAATACATGGATTTTATATACAACTGTAGGGAGCTTGCTTTGATACCATAGGTCAGAATTTCACTAAAAAGATGTTCTGTGACCTCCACACAATGTAAAACCTAACCTTGATAACAAGCCACCAGGCTCAAGTGTTTAATGTAATAGAAATGTACTTATTCTTCAATAGTTGGTACTTTTATAAAGGCTTTCATATGATGGGTTAACAGTGTTTTTACAAACAATTAAACCCAATGCCCTGAGAAGTAATCCTGTTTTTAGTGTCAGGGTTAGAATCCAGGAGTTCTAGGTACCAGACAATTCTCCCTTCCTAAACGGACATTTCTCTGCTAGACTAGGCACAGCTAGAGAAGCACTAGTTAGCAGGGATGGACAAATATTGAACACCTAAATAAATATGGATTGCCAAAAAATACGTAAGTGGAAATATTTGTACTCCTAAAAATAATTCGACCTTCCTAACTCCACTTTCCTTGGGAGCCTATTCCAGTCTGACAGATCTTGGATAATTTTGTTTTCCTAAATTGTTTGCCTAAATTTTGTTTTTTTTTAATTTCATCTGAGTGTTCACAAATAAAATAAACCACTTAATACAAGAAACAAAAGTAATTCAATAGTTTGAATAGAGACTCAAGCTTACAGGAAAAACAAAGCAAAAGACTAAAATTAGGATCCAGAAGCCAGATGAAGAGAAGTAGGCCACTAAAGAAACATTTTTAATTATGGCTTATCAAAAATAGAGATCCACTGAAAAACAAAACAACTGAATATTTATCAAATAAACTTGTAGACCTGAACTTGACAAAACAGAGGAAGTTATCCAAAAGTAATGGTATTGTGCATGAAACTGGTGGGAATCTAAGTTTAAAATTCACATGGAAAAGCCATCTGAAGAGCATATATTTTGCAATAGATTCCCAACACCTCTACACTTCTTCAATTAAAACATCCATATTCAGAGCCACAAATCCACATTACTTTGCTAGGCAGCCAAATCAGGATGAAGAATGCATAACCTCTCTGGAGTAAGAGAACAGACATGACTGAAGGACAAACTGAGTTGCTGACAATGTCAGCAAGTCCACATAGCAGAACTCATAAACCCCTGGAAAACTCACTAAGATTTTATGTCTCCTATCTCACTTTGCATAGAACTTTGGGGAATGTGGGAGAAGGGTGGAGTTTCATAGACTATTTAATTATCCAAAATGAAATCTCCTCTCATGAAAAAAGGCCATAGGGACATTAATTGGCACAAGTGACCAAAGTTTCATCTTCAAACCACAATATTATGCAAAGGGTCTGATTCCATATCAACTCAGAAGGGAGATAGCCACCTACTGCAACACCACCATTTCCTGTACCACCTGGATTTTCTATGTCTTTAATATGGTGTCACCAAACCCTACCACGGTTTTGTCAGACTCACATTTTAAGCAGTGTGGGATTGGGAAATGGTCCTGTCCAGCTGTATTTTTTTATTTATTTTTTGGCAAGAGGAATGTTGTTCACGCCAGTAGCTGTCCAAATTCTAATTTGAGTAAATACATGCTACAAATCGAAATCCCCCCTGCAGTTTCAGTCAGATATGGTATTTGTCACTTTTTATCCCAAACTGCTATAAAATACATCTGAAGTATGCAATGTGTCACAAAGGAATGAAGGCACAAAGAAGTTCTGACATTTGTTTTAAATATATATATTTTAGTTGTGTTAATATGATCTGTTCTGGTAAGCATCAACTGAGAAAGGGGAGCCAATCATTTTAACCTGGCTCCAACATAACTTCACAAAAACTGTATAACTGCATCATAGAGTAAAACAAAAACAAAAATAACCACACAAATCATATTTCCTGAGTGATACTGAGCTGATAGACAGCCACATGAAAAGAACAAGAATAAGTGGCTGTGAATCAAATAACTACAAGCTTTCATTTTTACTAATAAACCTCTAGTTTTAAAGTTCCAACCTGGGACTCAAGATTCCATAGTACTAATCCTGACTATGCCACCAATTCACTAAGGCCAGCACTGTAATAAGGGGTTTGTGACTTTGGGTATTCAACTTGAGACACCTTAAAAGAGGCTGTTTTCCAGAAAGTGCTGAGCACCTGTCCCCCAAAATCCAGTGTTTTAAACTGGGCACCCAAGCCAACTTTAAAAAAAAACAAAAAACTTGCCTTGAGTTCTTTAATCTCTGTGGCTTGTTTTATTCCTGTATGAAAACAGCACTAGTATTTGCATTAATTTTGAAAGATACATCTTTTAAAAGCTATCCTGCTGTACTTAGCTACAAGAAACCGAATGCAACTCACATTCTGCTCCCCAGGTTTCTTTGGTGGATCCTGCAATCCGTGGGATTCCTATCAATATTTTACTTAAGATACATAAGGCACAATTCAATGCGTATTGAAGTCAATGGGAGTCTTTCACATTTTTGTGCAAATCATATATAAAAAGATAGGATGGCATTCCACACACACTGCTTATTGTCATGAAGAAATATGCTGATGATTTATTGACATAAGGAAGGAAGTGCAGTTAACCGTATAAATATGGGGACCTAAGCCATCCTTTTGATTATCAAGTAACTATGCATTTCTTTATGGGTATACTGTGCTTCACACCGCATTGTTTCAAAGGAGAAATCATCAGTGTGCTGAGTCAGGAACCACTTGACTAACAGTGCAAAGTGGAAACAGTCTCACAGTTAACATCTGCCATTGACACTTTCCAGAGAACCTATACCCTATGTGCCCTCTTGCTTTAGTAAAGCTGTATGTGGTCAGGACCTGATGTCATGAAGAGAAAGCCCAATTAAATTACACAAGTGTCAGCTGCAGAACATCAGTTATACCATTAAATAGCTTTAAGCTAGAAAGCAGTAAGGCACCTTCAAGGTAAAACATCCTAATAAGGCATTGTGGGGGAATGAGATACCACACTCCACCCAGACACTGAAATAACAATGTACACCAGAAAGGATACCAATGCAAAGAGAAAACTGGACTTTTCTTCACACTTAATACAATCAATTTTGTTCTATAAAAGAGGGTCAGAGAGACCAGAAAGGCTTGTGTTGCAATACCACAACCTTATACATACAACAGCATGGAAAGTGTTATTAGGGAGGCCAGGCTAGTGAAAGGATTTCTTCATTGTGTATGTCATCTTCAGTGAATTTGGTATTACCTGCCTTGAATGATAGGCCTGAGTGAGTGAGCTGGTTCAATTTGTACTACACAGACAAAAATAGTCTTAGAGGAAAGACCTGTCACTATAAATGTCTTCTTCTCCACCCCATTCCCCTCTGTTTGTTACATCCACATTGTGTGATTTGTCTTAAACTAGACTGTAAATTCGGGAAGGGACCATTCCTTCCTGTGTGTTTGCACAACACTTAGCACAAGCTATTCCTTATTGTGGTCATCAGTTGCTACCAAGTACAAATAATAAAAAAGCTGAGTAGTTAACAAGTTCTGGACATGATTTCAGAAAGCAGAGTGATAGCAGAAATCAACATGCTAATAACTGTTTCCTATTCAAGAATTATTTTAAACCTACATTCAGCCTGATGCATAACCCTTTAAATCAGGGATTGGCAACCTTTGGCACGCGGCCGTCCAGGGTAAGCCCCCAGTGGGCTGGCCACTTTGTTTACCTGCTGTGTCCGCAGGTTCGGCTGATCGCGGCTCCCACTGGCCACGGTTCGCCCCTCCAGGCCAATGCGAGCTGCGGGAAGCGGCAGCCAGCATATCCCTTGGCCCGCGCCGCTTCCTGCAGCCTCCATTGGCCAGTCGGAACCGTGATCGGCCGAACCTGCGGTTGCGGCCGGTAAACAAACCGGCCCAGCCACCCAGGGTGCTTACCCTGGCGGGCCGCGTGCCAAAGGTTACCAATCTCTAAATCATTAGAAAGACTCCCATTGTCTTGAATAAGTTTTGAATCTGGCCCACAAAGTTTAATTTTGTGCAATATATCATGTCCATTTCCTACATAAACTATGGAAAACCAGCACCAACAGTGATTTGGCACATTTTAGGATACTTACCTGGTACATTATTAAATAATTTATTTTGATCTTTATAAACCTGAAGGGAAGGGCAAATACTAAGAACCCTTAATTAGTTTTCTTTCAGTAAATAACACAACTAAAATAGAAATTCAAAACTATTTTAATTGACTACTGACATACCACATATGATGAAACAATCCAAAATATATAGTCCCAAGTCTTGGAGATTCATATAATGCTACCCTGTGCATTCAATGCTAATACTAGAAAGAACTAATCAATAGAGACAAAAAACAAACAAACTATCAGTAGACTATACAGATTAATACAGCGCGTAAAACATCAGAGTCCTTTACACAGAAATACAATGCATACATTTGAATCAGATCATCAGCTGGTGTGCCCTGAAATCAATCAAGTTATGCTGATTTACGGAAGCTGCAAATCTGTCCTATTTAATTTTAAAAGAAGCAGAAAAGCTATTAAGATATTCAGACATCTTGCCTTTTAGTAACCCATTTTACCATAACATGGAGATATGCAGTATGTCTAGGAGAAGACTTTAAAATGTAGACAACATACTGACCTGATAAGCTCTGTTGATTTGGTTAGCTGCCCAACTGGCATACTTCATATTGTCCTTTTTCATTTTTGCACTTGCTTTAGGATTGGAAGCAATATGGCTGGCAGACTAGGATTACAAAACAAAAAATAAGATTGCAAAATGCATACATATACAAAAGAGGGGACCATAGGAACTGGTGGTGTGCGCCACACACAGTCCAACAGAAAGGAACGAAGGGAGAAAGTAAAATGAATCTTGGCTTATAAACAGTCTCCAGCCTAAAACTAGACTGTTCAAAGAATTGAGATCTGATCTCACTAAAATTAAAGACTTTGGGGTTCAGCTGTCCACAAGAAGGTCCCTCTCTCCTATCCCTGTGTGGGAGATTGAATATGCCCAGTTCTTTTTCTATCAGTCCATTTCCATTTATGGGGTGAAAGTGTCACAAAAATAGCTTTCTGTCTCCAGCTGCTGGAAAGGAGGCTATAAAACCCAATGTCTTGGGATATGTCTACACTGCAGTAAAACACCTGTTCCTGGCAGTGCCAGCTGACTCAGGCTTATGCGGCTCAGGCTAAGGGCTGTTTAACCACAGTGGAGATGTTCAGGCTTGGTCTGGTGTGACAGTGTACCCCATAAAGCTTTATGGGGGGGGCGGGGTGCTTATAAATGTATGTATGACATAACTGGAATATGTTTTGTGCTGCCTGTGCCATGTAATATATCTCCGTAAAGGTTACGGTCTACTATATCTATTCATCCTATTTGTACATATATATCATTCTCTATTTGAGGTTAAGAATATGGGCTGTATGCTTGCTTGGTTTCTAAGTAAGCTTTGTGAGGCATTTGGTCAGCTTCTTTAGGAAGGAATTCGCCAGGTTAAGTACCTGATCAGGAAACACTTGGGGAACAATGCATCTTGGAATGCTCCAATCCACATAAGAAGTCTTCCTGGAGACATGCAAGATACCATGTGGACAATGGCTTCGGCCTGTAAAGACTGAATCATGCAGGGACATGTGACTTGCCCAGGTGACTCCAGAACTCCATCTTGGAGCTGGACATTGCATAGGAGGGAGGAGGGGGTCTCAACCCACAAGAGAGAGTCTATTTAAACCCATGGGAGACCCCTCCATTTTGTCTTCAGCTGGCTAGAGAAGGAGCCTCTCTACCCCCCCCAGGATACTTGAAGGAAACTGAAACAAAGGACAGTAACTACAGGGGTTGTGAGTGATTGCTGGACCCAGGCTAAAAGGAGATTAGCCTGTAAAAGGGAGCATTCTGGAACTGGCAAGGAACTTATCTGTATTTAGTTTGATTAGACATAGATTTGCGCATATTATTTTATTTTACTTGGAGACTTACTTTGTTTTGTCTGTTACTACTTGGAACCACTTAAATCCTATTTTCGGTATTTAATAAAATCACTTTTTATTTAGTAATTTACTCAGAGTATGTATTAATACCTGGGGGAGCAAACAGCTGTGCATATCTCTCTATCTGTGTTATAGAGGGCGAACAATTTATGAGTTTGCCCTGCATAAGCTTTATGCAGGGTAAAACGGATTTATTTGGGTTTAGACCCCATTGGGAGTTGGGCATCTGAGTGCCAAAGACAAGCACACTTCTGTGAGCTGTTTTCAGGTAAACTTGCAGCTTTGGGACAAGTGATTCAGACCCTCGGTCTGTGTTGGAGCAGACGGGAGTGTCTGGCTCAGCAAGACAGGGTGCTGGAGTCCTGAGCTGGCAGGGAAAACAGAAGCAGGGGTAGTCTTTGCACATCGGGTGGCAGCCCCTTTATGGGGTGAAAGTGTCACAAAAATAGCTTTCTGTCTCCATCTGCTGGAAAGGAGGCTATAAAACCCAATGTCTTGGGATATATCTACACTGCAGTAAAACATCTGTTGCTGGCAGTGCCAGCTGACTCAGGCTTATGCGGCTCGGGCTAAGGGCTATTTAACCGCAGTGGAGATGTTCAGGCTTGGTCTGGATTCTAGGATCTGCAAGGTGGGAGGGTTCCAGAGCTCTGGTTGCATCCTGAGCCCGAACATCTACACTGCAGTTAAACAGCCCATTAGCCCAAGCCTTGAGAGCCTGAATCAGCTGGCATGGGCCAGTCGCTAGTGTCTAACTGCAGTGTAGACATACCCTTAGTATCCAGACTGACATACTAGAGATCAACAGTTTTAAGGTAGTTCAGGCTTCATGCATGTCTACCCTTAAAATAAATATAAATGTTGAACATAGCTTCATTAGAGAAGTTTCCATTAACGTAAAAATCATAAGGGATAATCACTTGCTTGCAGAAAATTCTCAAAAATAATTATCCAACTTGTGACTGCAGAAACACTGGGACTCTACATACTCTGGCAGCAGCAAATCCCATCACCACTCAGTAATGAAGAAAGCTACAGATTTAGGAAAAAAGGTTTTATTTTATTATTAATTTGGTTTAATTAATGCTTAACAATTCAGTGCTTGAGTGTGTCCTAAATAGAAAGGGAAGATATTACATAGAGTATGTTTGATTCATTACCAAATGTCTAAGTGACAGCTAGTGTCCACTAATTTTTTTTTTATTCCTAAGTAAAAACACATTGTTAACTTAAGGTTAAGACAGTCCTACAATAATAAATATAATTGTTAAAAAGCACCTACTTACCATTAATAACCCAATCCCCAAAAATGCATGTAAAAGGTAAGTTAAGGTTAAATAAATAAATAATTCTAGTAGCTCTCACAGTTCACTTTATCCAATTGCTTTTCAAAGATGAATTACTTAAAATGTCAGCAACTCATTTACACTAGGCTTCCTCTGTTGCTACCCCCGGTGGAGTTGAACTGGTGTAGGAAACTGGGGAAATTTTTGCCAAGTTTCTGTAGTCCAGACAAGGTTATAGAATAATCATACTTTTTGCAATTAAATTCCCAAACAAAAACAAAACCACATTACAGTGCGCTAACTAGATCTCAAAGCACTTTACGCAGGTTGATGTATAATTATCTCATTTGATATATGGGGAACTAAGGTCACAGAAGGCTGATGTGAAGGTCAGGGGTAGAGCAAGAACAGAATCTAGGTCCTCTTGTGTCCCATTGATTTCAATTGGTGTGGAAGCAGGCCCTTTGTGCGTTGACCAAACAAACAGTTCATTCCTGATATTTAATAACTCTCATTCAAATCAGTAAAACTATTATATTAGACTAGGAAGATTATTGAATTTTAAATGACAACACACAATCAATGAGTATTCATTCAAACTCACCATGTATAGTCCAAATAAAGCTCTCATGTTTCTGTTGTTCAGTTTCAATGCTTGTGCAAAATATTTTCTTGATAGCTCAAGGTTTTCAAGCCCGCCTTGGGTATATTTAACCTGTTAAAATTATAGACTGATTAAACCTGTTTTATTTTACTACTTTGAAAATTTGCATGTTTCATCATGCCTCGGGCACCAGAAACTGCAGTAGGTAGATATTTTCTATTGGAATGAAAGAGATTATAGACACTACTCTTAAGACCATTAAGACTCATCTAAATCTTGACTGTCATGTGAAACACAAAAGGCAAAGCACTAGTCTGTGAGGTACCTAATCCTTTTAATATAAAATTTAGAAAAAAGATGCTCTCACTATAAAAAAAAGTCACTGCTATTTTAAATGTCACTCACTGACAGAATAAAGGAGAAATTAAATGAATTAATTCTCATTATTACATTAGCTAGAGAAGGGAATACATATTAGAAGATGTATTCTAGAAATCTGGATTTTTAGGAACCACAAAGTGATATAAACAGACTCTTAAATTTGAACAATTATCTAATATTTAATCCATGTAAACAGAACAAATTGTATTTACTCCCACTGATAATAATGCCATTTTTTTTTATTTAAAAACTGGAATCTAGTGCAAACTGCTAAATATCTTGGGCCAAATCCTGTAATTTTTTCCCAATTCTCTGTCAGGCAAGATTTCCTACAAAGGAGGACTGCAAGATCTGGCTCCTTGATTGTACCAAAAGCAAAACATACTACCCAAGAAAAGCATTAATATTATGTCAAGGTTTAATTTCTCATGCATTTAGTTTTGAAACTTCATTGAAGAGCATAAACATTTCAACAAGCTGAGTTTATTTCAATAAGAATTTGTACATTCAACAAATGATGGTTTAATTCTTATTTACAATTTAGTAATAGTAGTAATCCTAGGATTTAAAAAAAAAATCATTACTGAACGTGCAAAGTTCTATCAGGTGTTTTAAACTGATGCCTCCTCTTTGTACTTACTTAAAATCCCAAAGATGAAACATACTAAAAAAAATATTTTTTATTCTATTTGTATTATTCCCATTAGTAGCAAAACCAGAACAGCTATTCAAACACAATTGATTCTTTTGAAAATACTTACTTCAGCAAATTGCTGACAATATAAGTGGTTGTGTGGATTAGTCATCATAAGCTCCTCCAAACAGAAGGCCGCCTTTGCATAGCTGAGGAACATCAAAACCAGAAAGTGACATACAACAAACTGCTGATTTAATGTGTGTATAGGTCTTTGCTATTGTATTCTTTACAATTCAGTATTTTTAGCCCTCCTTATTATAATAGTATATTGTCTCTCATTATTTCGTGAAATTTATGATAATAAAACAGAATAAATTTGTTAGTCTCTAAGGTGCCACAAGTACTCCTGTTCTTTTTACGGATACACGGCTGCTACTCCAAAACCTTA